CTGGTTGTATTTTATAGGGATTCTTAGATTTGGGGTTTTCATTTGAGTTGAGCTCTAAACAGCTTTTAGTTTCCATTTTCCTTCTGACTCAACCATTAATCATCCACCTCTACCTGCACTTCTTGTCCTGGCTCCAAAATCCTGGAACTTTGGGGCAACCTGAGCTTAAAAACAGCAAATGAGGGAAAAAAAAAATCACTGAGCAATTTAAGCTCAGTGCAGGTTTGGGGACTGCTCACCCAGGGTTTGTGTTTGCACAGAACAACTCCTAAATTATGGACCAAGGGGAAATTCCCAGGCTGCCTCTGCCATCAGAGGATGGAGCTGCCCCTGGTTTGGGAGGGGAACAGCAGCATAAAAAATGAGTCTGAAGCAAATCAGCAGTGAGTGAACCACAAAATGCCATCTCAAAGGGACAAAGAATCCCCATTTTGCAGGGTGTGCTCTTGGGCTGAGCAGGAAAATCCACCCTCCAAAAGCAGGAACAGTGGTGTTGCTTGGAGAAACACAAATACAGAGCTTTGGGAAGCCTCTTTGGAAGGGAACACCTGGATACAGCACTGTTCTCCAAGCTTAAAAGGGGAAAAAACAGACCCTTTCCTAGAGAAAATTATTATTATTATTATTATTATTATTATTATTATTATTATTATTATTATTATTATTATTATTATTAATCCCAGTGTCTCCTCCTCACATGTTTGTGCCAGCTCAGTCCTCACACCTCTGGGAGCATTTAATGAAGATTCAAAGCCACTCTAAAAATGGCATCTGGGCGTTCCAGTGCTCAGGATAATAAACTTTCCTCACATTTCCTGGGCAAGAAGGTTCAAATATCTGTCCAGGTGCCTCCCAGAGGCTGCTTTAGGGAGGGAATCCATCAAATGTTCAGCCTGCCCATGGCTGGGGTGCAGTTTGCTCCTGGAACAGGAACCATTCCAGAGGGATTTGGACTTTGCACAGAGCAAAGCTGAGATTTGCCAAGGCAGGCAGTGAGAAGGAGGCTGTGATCGCACCCTCAAAGCTGCTGCTGTTTATCAGATCACACTTAGGCTAAATTAACACATTAAACTATCAGAGATCGCCAGTAAAATCAGTGGGATGGAGATCAGCTTGAGAGAGAGCCTAAAGCCAGGCACACCTGTGGCTTTAATTAATCTCCACTTCAGGGATTACTGGACTAAAATGAAAACCAGAATCAGCCTCACGTGGGTCCTCTGTGAAACAAACGCCAGGAAAGCAGCACCTTACATTTATGGCACTGCTGAGCACAGCCATAAATTACATTTATGGCACTGCTGAGCACAGCCCCTGCCCACAGCAGCTCCCAAAAGTGGAGTTCTGTGGATCCCAGAAATCTCCAGGGGTGGTTTTGCTCAGGAGCCTCCAAGCAGAGGGAAGATGGGATCAGGTTCTGCTCTGAAATTCCCTGGCTGTGTTGTGCACAGAGTTCTCCCAGCCCAGGGAGAATGAGGATCCCACCAGACACTGATCCTTTTGCAGGAACACAACCCTCCCCTGGCTCGTGGATCTGGAATGAGAGATCCCAAACCTCCCAGCCTTTTCCTCTTCTTCAGGAATAACAAAGGCAGAGCACCTGAACAACAATGGAGAGCAGAGATTTCTGTTCACTGGGGCAAAAGCAGGGCTGGAGTTTATTAATTAACTTAATTAAAAGGTTAATTGGCCTGCTCCAGCCCTTCTCTAAGGTGCCAGCTCTGGCACTGGGGGCAATCCTAAGGGAATTGTGCAAATGTTGTTCCTGAGGGTGACCACGTGGAAAAACCCAATCCAGATCTTGGCTCCTCTTTGGAAATTAACTGTACAGAAGAAAGAGGCACAAAGAGGTTTAGTGTGAGGAAATCTGTGGTGTTGAGCCCCCACAAACCCGGTGACCCTACAGGTGCAGCACACACCCCAAAGGACACAGAACCCCCCAGGAATTCAACTCAGCAGCACTTCGGACACTTGAAACCTGCAGATTTCCAAAAGAATGTAAGCATCCAAAATTAAATACATATATATTTATGGGCCTATTTTAAACACTCTCAAAGCCCGGCCTTCTGTTCCTATGAGTTTATAGAAGATGCAGCAAGGCTGAAACATCTCCCTGTGTTTTTCCAAGCGTTTTCTGCCTTCTCCCATCCCTTCCTCCTCCTTGTTCCCCTCCCACTGCTCCCACTCCCTTTTATCTGAGCACAAGTGCTGGAGTTGATGTCTCCAGCTCAGGGGGAGGAGGAGAAAGGGCCTTTTCCAGCCCAGGTTGAAGCATGAGGGACACCTTTCATCCCAATGTTTTCACATCAAAAAGATGCAAATGCAGAGAGAGGAGCTGCATTCTTCCCTAATGCAATTAAAATGGAAGAGGCAATTTGAAAGGCTGAGGGGAGATTTACAAGGAAGCTGAAGGCAAAAGGGAAGAAAGCAAGCCTGAAACTATGTTCAAAAATCAATATATATTTAGGGTTACATAAATGAAGGGAGCAATTCAGCAGTGGGAAGAGCACGGTGAGGGGAGGATGAGAAGATGAGACACAAGGACAGAACTCAAGGCTCTCCTGCTGTCAAAGAGATTTTTTCTATCAGCTCCCAAGGAGGGTTTGTGGTTTCAGGGCACTCACCTCTCCTTTGGAAGCTGCTTTTGTGCTCCTTTGAGAGCAGGGCTGTTCCTTTTCCCCAGGTTTGATGTCCTGATCAGGAAGTGTGAGTTATCCAGGGTCAGGGATGTGCCATCAGCTGCAGCTGCTCACTGGGATTGCTGCCCTTCATCCCTCCAATAAACCTGAAATTCCCAGGCATTCACTGAACTCAGCCGCACAGACTGAAATCAAAACCAGACTTCTCCAACTACATAAAAGCCCCAAACCATGTCCAGTAAAACTTAGGTCTGCTCTTCCACACATTATTTGGATTTTTAAATTTATTTATTTTGGGGAACACAGTGCAAATTGTCATTTCTGCCTTGACTGCAACACTGATAACATCATTATTGCCGTGTCTGGCAAACAGAGGCAAGGTTTGCCCTAATGAAAGGCAGGACTCCCAGGGAAATCAAAAAGCTGTTGATGAACATTCTTATCTCTTTGCAGTAATTCAGTATTTGACAGATGCCAATAACCTGAATTCATCTTGAGACACTGCCTTTTTTTACTGTCATTTCCTTTGTTCCTCTCACACAAATCTCTTCCAAACCTCTCTTACTTTCCACCCTCAAAAACTTTAAAAAAACCTCAAAAATCTATTTCTCTCTGAGGTTCTCAAAGGTCAGACTTGGAGAACAAAGGGAAGACAGTGCCTGTCCTAAGGATATTGCAAATCAAGGAGCAGATTTTGTCTTCCCCATCTTGTACTGAGTTGTACTTTACTTTATAACTTGCTAAAAAAGACAAGGGAACACGAGCCAGGGCAGGAAGGTCCATCCCAAAGCAAGGACGTGCTACACCAAGAGCCTGAGCTTGTGTAAGTCCCAGAGTAAAACAGGATTAGTTCATTAAAAGCTTTAAAAATGAATTCAACTTCCAGATATTCTAATGTGCTTGCACAATAAGTTTATTCTAACATATTTCCAGATTAAAAAAAACCACATTATTTTTGTCAATACTTGAATCTTTGTAATATATTTTAATGGGAATTAAATGTGCCCAGCCCGGAGCTCCTGATTGCAATGTTTGCAGTGCTCAGGCCAAAGCCACTGAAGGCTTATGACTCACACAAAGCCAAGCAAACAATCTCAGCTTTATTTATTCTCTGCTGCTGGAATTCAGCTGAAGCCCGGGAGAGGAGGAGGTTTGGGGGATTTAAATGGGAAGCGCCTCCTGAGGATGTGCTGCCCCTTGTATTTGTGGGGTCCCAGACGGAAGAAGGAATGATGGACCTGAATCCGTGTTCTCAGAGGCTCATTTATTATTTTATTATACTATATTATTTTAAAGAATACTATACTAAACTAAAGAAAGGATACAGACAGAAGGCTGTGGCCAGAAAATAATAATGAAAACTTGTGACTCCTTCCAGAGCCCTGACACAGCTTGACCATGATTGGCCAAAGAGTGAAAACAATTCACATGAAATTAATGAAACAATTACTAGTTGGATAAACAATCTCCAAACACATTCCACATGAGCACAACACAGGAGAAGCAAATGAGACAAGAATTGTTTTCCTTTTTCTCTGAGGCTTTTCAGCTTCCCAGGAGAAAATCCTGGGTCAAGGGATTTTTCAGAAAATGTGACTGCCCATGGTGCCAGCGAGATTCCAGAGGGTGGGATGGCAGCTGATCATGCCAAGGGCTGAACCCCTGAACCCCACAGTGTTCCTGTGCTCTGGAGAGGAGCCCGGCCCCTCTGCTGCCCTGCCAGGCTGCTCCGTGCCAGGGGCAGCTCCCCCAGCCCTGTGCCCACAGGAGCAGCCTCTCCCTGGGCCCTGCTCCTGCCTGTGCCCACTCCAGCCATGCGTGGCACTTTTGGGGTGTCTCAGCCTTTCCTCTCCAGCCTGGGTCCCCAGTCCCTCCCT